CTGTAGTCTCAGATGATAGGGCGACTTCATTCTTGACTTCTCGTACTTCGACGAAATATCCCTCCAAACTTGAGAGAAATTACAAAATTAGGGTATGAAGTGTGCTTAAAACTCAACTAAAATTTGGTTCAAAATACATTAAGCACTTGTATCCAGCGCAGCGACAATACTTTCAGTTACTCAGTACATGAAAATGACATAGAAACCTGGCATACATTCAATTAACTTCACAATCCATTTGATGGGGTCGGATGTGTGGCGCACTCCAGACCAGGTGTGGAACGTTTTCTCCATGCGAATAATTAGCCTCCATAATTAGTACTGAGCGCGCAGCGTATACGTTCTTCTAGCTTTTGAGATAGAACCCGTGTGCATGGCGCATTCCGAAATCAAGCTTTCTGAAAATATTTAGCACCATCTTGTAGCGCTTGAAGAGCTGAGTTCAACGGTGTTTTCCGTTTCTGGAATACTTCACTCTGACCCGAGTTATAACGAATTCACGAAATTAACGAGGATTCGCGTTATTCGCGTGAATTTTCGATTTCAAACGGCGAGTACTGTACTTCTGTTCGTCACCAATCCCAGTGTTCCCTCCTTTTCCCTCTCCCAACTACAGCTTTCGAGAAGGAAACTCGAATTTCAGCAGACCTCTCATTCGAACTTTCCTTTCACACCTTTGCCGTCAACTAATCATGTGACTAACGTCGATTTGTTTAACTTTATGAAAAATTTTATAACTCGGTTGGGAGAAAGCCTACAGAGCAGAAAACAATTTGGTGTAAGGGAGCAATGTCTAAGGTGTTTCCAGCATACATGACGTGGGCGGAGGCCCGCCCACAATGGGCGGAGCGCGCTCTGTACAGCATTTTCTACAAGTCCTCATAATTCGGGCCGGAGAAGTCTTAGTGAGCCGGAAAAAGGTGGATAGAGGAGGAGTGGAGGCCAACTGTCATCGGTGGGCGGGGCATGACCAAAGTGGGCGGAGTTTGCGACGAAAATTCATAACTCGGTTCCAAGAAGTCCTGGAGACCGGGAAAAAGTGATTGAGTCCGTCAACGGAAAGGGAGGTCAACTGCTATTGGTGGGTGGGGCGTGCACCAACGTGGGCGGAGTTTGCCCTAAACTTATAATTTAGTTCCGAGAAGTCCAGGAGACCGGGAAAAGAGTGGGTCGAGTCCGACAACGCACGGGAGGAACAGCTGCTATTGGTGGGTGGAGCGTGCACCAAAGTGGGCGGAGTTTGCGACGAAAATTCATAACTCGGTTCCAAGAAGTCCCGGAGGACCGGGAAAAGGTGGATGGAGGTGGGTGGAGGAGTGGAGCCAGCTGTCATTGGTGGGCGGGGCTTGACCAAAGTGGGCGGAGTTTGCGACGAAATTCATAACTCGGCTCCAAGAAGTCCTTGGAAACCGGGAGAGAAGTGGGTGGAGGATACACCAAATTGCAGGTTTCGCCGCCAAAATTATACTCAGAATAGTTCAGAGATCGGGTAAAAAGTGGGAAGAGGTTGGCGAGGAAGAAAAAGATAGGTGGGACATGCAAAGAAATAGGCGGAGTTTACCACGAGGTTCATAAATCGGTCCAGAGGCAGTCCGAGACCGGGAAAAACGAATAATTGGTTAAAGGCACAACCCAGGCAGAGGTCGTGTGAACGCTTCTCGTAGTATAGACCCTAGAGGACAATCACAAATGTGGCGTTCCGTGCACGGAAACCAACCGACAAGAGCGCTTGGGCCTTGCAAAGTAAGCTGCCCAAGCTGCAGATTTTTTTCTCTTATCAGGCTGTTGTCTGGCTCTCTCATCTGTAGCGCTCTCTCGCCCATACTCTCCTCTCCGCGCTTAGTCTCTCATTCCCTTAGCACAGCCGATTAGGAAGGTGAGTGAGCCCTTAACCTAAGCGTTTTCGACGGATTCTTTTCCTTTTTTCTTTACTGCCGGCCCACTTCGCACCAATACATTCGCATTCGTGTGCAAGAGCCACACCAATGTGATCCTGGGGCATGCCTTTAAGGATAGCGGACATTTGGTGGAAGAAGGAGAAAAGTCAAAATTTATCGATGGAAGGCAGGGGCAATCGGAATAATTCAGCTTGAAAGTCAAATATTCGAAGTGTATTGAATTAAATTCGAGGCCTACGCCGCACCATTCCATATGCCGCAAAATTGTGCTGTGCGCGCAACGCATGCGGCGCCAACAGGCAAGGTATAGGTCCATTCTGAGCAAGCGCGTCTTGTCTTTTGAGAGCTCCCAAGATGTTCTCTGTTCTATTATATTGCGGCGTGTATTGCAATAAAGAAATGCTCGTGATTCGATCTCACAGTTTCTGTCATGAGCAAGTGACCTGTGGGTGCGTATGACGTACAGCACAGTGAACAATTTCTCGTACGCCATTTTCTCAGGACATATTAGACATATCAATTTGGAGATCGCTCAAGAGTTATTGAACTTGCGTAGAGAAACCGTCCCAGAGGCGTAGCGCATTACCTGCTGGGACAGGGGTCGTTCAGGAGTGCTCACCTGTTCACTTTATAGGGTTAAGTGTGAGTATGACTCTCACAAGAATTGCACGGCCTTGGTTATGGTCGGAGCACCTCTCCTCCTACCAGCTATCGAATAAGGAGTGAGAAGGGAATGAGACAGAAGGAATGATAATCCATCTCGGTGAATGATTGGTGAGAGACGCATTTCAGAGATCCTCTCATCATCACGTTGACTGCACTTCTGCGAGACTATTTAGGTACTGGTCCCGCTTTCCAGCCACTCTGCTTCTCCGCAGCAATGTAATGACTTTTCTGTGAAACAATTTACGCATTTTAATCGCTTCCGGTGCCTGGCTGTCAAGGCACAGTTTTAGGTGAAGAGGAGAAGGCACATGAGATAAATTAAATGTATGCGCGTAGAATCAGACCAGAGCTGTTCTTGGATACAGAAAAAAATTATGTGAAAAAAGAAAAAATGGGCTGGCAGTGAAGAAAAACAACCTATCAAATGCCTTGGTAAATGGTTTTTTCACTTTTGTGCTAAGCTCTATCTTACCCACTTGGAGATTTCATCCAACTGAACTCTTACTGGATTGTGCTTGACGAAATGAGTAGATACCATGGTTGAATCCATATGCAAACAGGCCTATCAATGAGGAATGCTTTGCATTCAAACGCCAGACCTGAGTAGAAGATGATCAGGCCTTGCGCCTTTAGCTTCAGAAAATTGAATTGTTAGACAGTATAGCTTTGCTTCAGATATTGCCTTCGTACTGCGAATCTACCTGCGAAGCTGTCGTGAAGTCTAAGAAATGTCTGGAGATCAGAGTGCGTTTCCAACTAAAGAAGCTGACCGGATTCAATCCAATGAAGAAGGAAGAACACATTCTGAAGTTTGAGGTAAAAAAAAACCTCGTAATACCAGAAGGATTTCAAAAAGAAAGGGGCACTAAGTTGAAAACTACAAGATTCCCTGCATAGATAGCTTTTAGAATGAGGAAGAAAGGTTAAGAATATTTAAAGGAAGCAGTTTTTGAAAGATAGGGAAGGAAAGAACCTTGGCAAAGACTGGTCCGAAACATCATAATCATAAGTAACGCAAGTCAATAATTTTATATCCATTTTCGTCACTTATAGATTACATGCAGAGGGTCTACACGGTGGTAAAGTCTTCAGTCAGGATCATTAGCATGTTGTGAATACTTCCAATGCTGTTGAAGGGCAATCGCCGAAGGATCACAACGGTCATGGTGGCGGTATTTCGTTGGGCTTGCCGCACACATTGACACACTTCTTCTCTTTTTACATTTTCACAATCCATTGGCCGAAATCCTCATCGCGTTCTGTATCCGCAAATCACGGGTGGTAATCTCAGACCAACGCCGCTTTCCATCCATTGGGTCTTTCCATCTATATTTTGGTTCGTAGCAACGAATTTTGCACCAATCCATAAGTATTGTCAGCCCCTCGTATTTTATCGATGCGGTTTGTCGCGAGAACCAAGTTTCGGCCCAATAGATCGGAGCACGAGCACTTGGTGAAGCTTTGGCTTTGGCCCCCGACAGATCATTCGAGAAAGATAGGCAACATTCCTTCGCTGTGTGACGAAAGTCTTTTTGTCACTTTAACTTCAACTCACAAAAATTCCTCTAAAAATGGCGTCGAGGTGGGAATTATGCTACGTTCAGCTCCTAAATTCGATGCAGCAATCTCAAACATATTTTGAAGCCATGTTCACAAGCGACATGGCTGAGAGTCGTATGGGTATGTAAAACTTGTGATAGCATTATATGGCTTCAGCGATTTTTCTTCAGCCGTGGCATTTTATTCCTGCAGAGCTAAGTCTTGAAGTATTACTCGTTCTGTCTTTACATTCCAGAAGAAATAGAGATAGTGGACATGGAAACTTCAACGTTGGAAACTCTCGTTGATTACTGCTATTCTGGTAAGATAGTGATCAGTGACGCCAACGTCTCTAGTATTCTGCCCGCTGCATGCCTACTTCAGCTGGACGAAGTTCAGGCGGGTTCATAAAGATTTGCCTGGGTTGCTTCGCGTTGCTGGTACTTTTGAAGCTTTGATACAGTTCTTTTACAGAAACAGTGCTGTGAGTTCCTGAAGAACGGGCTGAATCTCTCAAACTGCTTGGGAATCCGTGTGCTTGCTTACACATATTCCTGTCAAGAGCTTCTTCATAGCGCTGACAAGTATATCTTGCGCAATTTCCAGGTCGGCTCACCTGCTCTATGCTCAACATTCAGACTTACATAGACTCAAGATTTCACGATCTTCTTACTAGGACATTCTTGGCACTGAAGAGTTTCACCAACTGCCAGTTGACCAAGTAATTGAACTCATTTCAAGTGACGAGCTCCGTGTACGATCAGAAGAGCAGGCATGTGGTCAAATTTCGTGATTGGCATCGAACATTTGTAGATGTTCATATTCTTCATCATTCAGTTGAGCAAACAACTATCTGTTCTTTTAGGTATTTACAGCAGTGCTGCAATGGGTTAGGTTCGACTTGCGAGATCGAAAGCAGTCTCTTTTCAATGTAAAGGTCATTCCTTGTCGAAATATGATAGATTTTTCAGTAATGATTTTGCAGCTGCTAGAGCATGTACGACTTCCATTCTGTAATCCAGAATTTCTTGTCAGCACAGTTAGTGATAACGCGCTAGTGATGGAGAATCTCGATTGCCGTGACCTCGTCGACGAAGCAAAGGTTTATACGGTTCCACAGGAAGCGTCTTACCCACTAAATTTTATCCTGTCTTCTGTTTCAGAATTACCAACTTCTTAAAGTCATACACAAAACACCGAACATGCTTGGACCGCGCACCCGCCCGCGAAAAGTGAAGGTTCACGAATTAATATACGCGGGTATGTATTCCCTCAGTCCATACATTTTGCTCAGATTGTTGCTTCATTATAGGACAACCAACCGGTTACAAGGTGGTCTTGATAAATAAACGTGGAGGTGTACATTGTAGTAGTAGTTCAGCTGGCACCAAGATTGGCCCTACTTTTGTCGGCTGACGATTCGACGCTGTCACCTTCTTCGTAAACCTGGAACCACGAAAGTTATTCAAAAAACTATCCGTCCAAACAGTATTTCAGCCTGCAGAGGTTATTCATTTGGTCGTAGACTACTATGCCGACATCACGGAACAAGTAAAGAGTAACCATTAGAGAAATGACCAATGAGGTCCATCAGTCACCTCGAACTGTATTAGGTTGATGCATAATTATTGCAGCTTTTCTCAACAAGTTTTATTCGGAGAAAACAATGGGTAAGAAGCAGAAGCTCTTTCAAAGCTTTTGCTTTTTACCCATCGTAAATCATAAAAGCTTTTTTTCTCTTTTTTCTCGGAGAAAACGATGGGTGTTTAACGAAAACACGTTTAAATGATTAACTCGGAGCGTCGACGAAGATCTTCAAGAACCGCTTCCCATTTGCTTGGCAGTAGGTCGATTCCACGGGTGAAGAAGTCACGATTCTTGGAGACGATCCACGCTCTAACATCGGCCACCAAGTCATCCAGCTTGTCAGAAATTTTGTTCGTTTTCCAGATTTTCAACGACTGATGGCTTTTGCTGATTGTTCCCTCGCCTTGATAGTTGAGATCGCGAAACAACTTCGAACCTTTCTCGTAGTGGTAGAGCATATATGGCGAATATGAAGATGATTTTCGATAAGCATTTCTGTTAATGAAAGAGAGAAGAATATTTTCATGAACAAATAATAAACAAACGCCAGTCTTTCCGAAAAAAAAGGAAAAAATCCGCAATAATTATGCATCAATTCAATAGCAGTGCGGTATAAATATTAAGTTCTCCGTCGAATGAACTAGAAACCTATGGAGAATTTTCATCCGAAAAAACGACACTATATCAGACGACCTAGTGGGTAAAACCCCGGAACGCATGTTTGATAGACCACTCGCGTGCTGATCATATAGATCAAACCGCTTCAAAAGCTACTAGAGGCTGTGCGCCGCTACTCTCTCACCTAACATCCCACTGGTTATCGTAGAAGACGAATTTGCCAGAAGGATCCTGCGTGGGATCGACCACGTAGGTCAAAACCCACTTAGGTAGCAAAAGGGAACTATCCCGTGGTAACTACAACACACTCCCCCTGTGAAACTCGAGTTCGGGCGGGGTCAGTCACTCCTAATCTTATCCGTCGTGCTAGATATAAGCGACTCATTTCAAGTGCACTTTCTGGTAAGAGCCGTTGTATGCGCGACATCACGCACATCCTGCTCACATCCCAGGCATCCCACTCTCCCTTCCTATGATTCGAGGGTCCTAGCCGTGATCCGAAAGCTTTCCAAAGTTCCGCGATGCAACAAGAAATGCGCAAAGTGAGACGCGGTAACGCGACACACTTTGCGCACCTCTTTGTACACTGAGACGCGGTTGCGCGTCTCATCCTTCGCATGCGTGGCTTCTTCCCAATTTGTTTGCATTTATTCCATGGATCATAATCCTACTATATATAAGCGGCTAGCGTGTGTCTGTTGGTGTGTGTGTGTGTTTGACCGGAAATTCATAGCTCGAGTCACAGTAACGATAGCGCAGTGGTTCTTACATATGTTATAGGGGGTGGGATGGGGACACAAGTGGTACGTGATAGGAACTGATAACGACTGATAATAGCTGATAAGAGGGGCTAGAAAGCGAGCATCGCCAATTTCGTTTTGCCGTTCATATTGGTAAAAGAGCGTCTATACTTACAAGTCTTATGTGGGGCGGTCCCGGGACATTGGTGGTACATGATTGGAAGCGATAGCAACTGATAATGGCTGATAAGATGCGCTAGAACGCAAAAGTCGTCGATTCCGTTGCCTGGCTCGCGTTGACACCAGAGCAACCATACTTACAAGTGTTATGTGGGGTGGGACGGGGACATTGTTGGTGGGTGCCAGAAACTGATAACGATTGATAAGGGCCGATAAGGCGCGCCAGAACGCTGAAGTCGTCGATTCCGTTGCCTGGCTCGCGTTGACACCAGAGCAACCATACTTACAAGTGTTATGTGGGGTGGGACGGGGACATTGTTGGTGGGTGCCAGAAACTGATAACGATTGATAAGGGCTGATAAGGCGCGTCAGAACGCAAAAGTCGTCAATTCCGTTACGCAGCGTTGACACTAGAGCGTTCCTACTTACAAATTGTAGTAAGTCGTAGTAGTACAAACAAAGGTACGTGCACATTATTTCGATATATATCCAGCTTACTTAATAGAATTCGACTGCATAAACTTTAAAAAACAAGTCTTCAGCAAATGATAAGTTTCATTTCTGACTATTAAGAAAACCCAAACTCATTAAACCGCTAATCCTTTCGTGGTTCTAAATAATGATGAATGTAAATGAATGATAAGCATTAGCTCCTCACTTATGTAAATAGGCATATTTCGTTTTGATTTTGAGACTGACAGCAATCCTATTCACCGCTAAATTATCTTAATTCAAGAAAAATGCTGGATGTTTACAGAGTTGTGATCAATATACCAGTTCAGCTCAGACGTTATCACGCGTATTCTCGATGAGCTTCAGTGAAACTGTGGAGGGTCTAACACAGTCAATAGTGAGATGGTTAATGGAGTATCTCATGCTGATATTCCATGGGTCCTCCAATTTCGCTAAAGCCTGCCGTGTGATGCGCGCGATAGCGGGCGAAGCAAAACTGGTATAAAATAACTGTAAACGACACGGGTCACGGTATGATCAAATGTGCTCCAGTTCAGCAGAAGTTTTCTAACACGTTGACGACATCGCGCGTTTTGGGCTTTTGCACCTCGTGGGACAAGGGCGCTTTTGCGAGCGCGGCCGTCACACCTCACACGCGTGAATTTCGAATGATAACTTTGGGAATGCTTCAAAGGTACGAAACCATTTCAGCAATATTCAATGCGTAGAAAGTAATCGAAGATATAGTAGCGAAATTCCGATCAAAAAACGTGAAATGGTAAAGGAAAATTTGGAATTCAAGTCCTTTTCTCTGTAGTGGATGCCAAAACTATTTTCGATGTGGATGTGTCAAGTGAAACATATATCTTTCTATCCCTTTGAGTTGTATTTACTTTCACTACCTTTTCTCACTGACATGTTCATCAGAATAGGAAGAAAACGAGGGATGAACCGAGCTGCCAATTCCGCTGTGCTTGAAAAACTTCTGCTAAACTGGAGCATATTTGATCATACCGTGACCCATGTCGTTTACAGTTATGTTATGTTCTAATCCATAGAATAGAGGCAAGCAAATTGGGAAGAATCCCCGCATACGCTAGAAAAAGGGATGACAAGGGTGAGACGCGTTACGCGTCTCAATGTCGTCAATGTGTTAAGCGCTGCGGAAATGGCCACTCGGTCCATTCCTTGTTTTCTCATGAGATTGGGAAGAAAACAATGAATGGACCGAGTTGTTAAAAAAAGAGTAGTAGAAGCTAATACAATCCTAAGGGATAGAAAAATATATGTTTCACTTGGCACAACCACATCAAAAGAGCTTTTGGCATCCACTACAGAGAAAAGGACTTGAATTCCAATTTTCTTTACCATTTCACGTTTTTTGATCGGAATTTCGCTACTATATCTTCGATTACTTTCTACGCATTGAATATTGCTGAAATGGTTTCGTACCTTTGAAGCTTCCCAAAGTTATCGTTCGAAATTTACGGGTGTGAGGTGTGACGGCCGCGCTCGCAAAAGCGCCCTTGTCCCACGCGGTGCAAAAACCCAAAACGCGCGATGTCGTCAACGTGTTAATATCGAGTGGGTGTTCCTTTATGTGAACACAATAGGGACTCTCGATTTCCAAGGTGGCTACTCTTTGCGCAGACGGTGCGACATAAAGGCGGAGATCAGGCAGAAAAAGCAGCCCAGAGAAACCAAGGTAGAGTGGGGTGCCAGTGGTGCAGGGGTGAAGGAAAACCATGAATAAGCGCAAATCCCGAGAAATGGGACTCCTACTGATTTTCGCATTGATACTTTTCTAACCAGTGTAGCCCTCTTCTACCTGTGAGCTGGTCCCAGAGGCGCGATTGGCGCAAGTACGGCCCTGCCACTGAATTCATACTTTTCGCTGCAAAACTCGTATCGTCCTAGTTATGTTTAATTTTCTTCGACCTTATCGGAATTTTTCTTTCAATTGCTACGCCCGAAATCGCGTAATCTCCTTCCTTATTCAATGAAAATGACCAACATAGCGGTGCTGATAGGGAACCTAGGTTTTGTTCGGAGAAGGGTTGGTTTACAATAGTATAATAATAACACCTCAACTTCGATCGATCGCCTATCCATTTAATCCAACGTTGCCTTTGTAAAAAGGGCTCATATCTGGCTCAACCGTCGCGACGACTTGAACTCAGTTCAAGGATCAGAACTCTCGAAACGCTGAGGTCTTTAGGATGCACTACATGTGTACATTCTTTGGAGCTTATATTGGGTTGTCTCATAATTCCTGTCGCATTTCTATTCAATTTCAAATTCTTCCGTCTAAGACCGTTTCATTGCGAAATACGTTAGTATGTTGAAGTATGCTTCAAGAGCCTTAACAGCGTGGTTTCGGAAGCGCAAGCCCGTAACGGGTTAATCAACTAGGAATAAAAATAGGTCAGTGACAATAATGAATGATTATGCTTTACGATCCTCAAATGAACTCTGTAGCAAGGACAACAGAGAAGATCAGCGCTGTGTTTGACCCAGTCTCTGCTACTGATAGGGTACTGAGCTAGTGGTCCAATCGCAACGGCAAAGACGAAACGAGCTATGAACTTCAACCTCATACTGGGCCTGCGGTCATTTTTGATGAGCGCCCCTTGCACCCTAAATTGGGAGTGCCTCCGGACGTTGCTACCAGGGTATTGTAGCAGATACCTGAGCGCAGCCGATGCACCAGCACACGCCATCAGTATGGCAAGGACTGCTGCAGAATGAAGTTTTGATGGAAACCTTATGGT